GCTAAAGAAACGGGGTCTTCTAGAGGCTGTGCTGGGCATGGTAAGAGCCTGCCTTGTCTCGCACGCGCAGGTTTCCCTTCCCTGGTGCGTGCCAGTGGTTGCTGCTGTTCTCACGAGACGGCGCAGCTTCCCGGGGAGGAACGGGGGGTGAAGCAGCTCTGCAGAGGAGCGCTTCCCTGGCCTGCTGCCCGTCGCACCGGGGATGTCTGGGCAGAGGTGCGGCACGGGGGTGCCTACCTTCCCAGTGAGTACGTCACGGAACGAGCTCAGGACGTGGTTTGATCGACAGAGTCGCATGTGCTCACAGAGGGTGTAAGACCATTCCATGGCAGCAGCATCTCCGTACTTCTTCTGGAGGTAGCTGAGAAAGAACTCAGGAAGACTGGATCGCTTCCCCGTCTGTGGATAACAAGTGAGTAACTCCCATAAGCAGCAGGATTAAATCAAATCTGCCCGTTTCCGCCTAGCGGATTGTGTATGGGTGTCTGTTTTCTGGGGATCTCATGCGGTGCTGACACAGCGCTGGTGCTGGCTGCAGTCTTCCCGGTTAGTAGATCGTTCCAAATGTTTCTCCCAGGTTTGTTCTCCAAATGTGAGTACGTTTGAGCAGAGCTCTGCTCCTACCTGTTTTGCTAGCTGTGAGGAGCTACCCTCTGTCAGACTTCTGGGCTGGCAGCCCAGAAAGCCAACCGTATCCTGGGCTGTATCCAGAGAAGTGTGGCCAGCAGGTCGAGGGAGGGGATTCTCCCCCTGTACTCTGCTCTGGTGAGACCCCACCTGGAGTGCTGCGTCCAGCTGTGGAGCCCTTAACATCAGAAGGATATTGACCACTTGGAGCGAGTCCAGAGGAGGCCACAAAGATGCTCCGAGGGCTGGAGCACCTCTGCTATGGGGAGAGGCTGAGAGAGTTGGGCTTGTTCAGCCTGGAGAAGAGAAGGCTCCGGGGAGACCTTATTGCAGCTTTCCTTATTGCAGGGGACTTTTTACAAGGGCCTGCAGTGACAGGACAAGGGGTAATGGGTTTAAATTGAAAGTGGGGAGGTTTAGATTAGATATCAGGAAGAAGTTCTTCCTGGAGAGGGTGGGGAGCACTGGGACAGGTTGCCCAGAGAAGCTGTGGATGCCCCATCCCTGGAAGTGTTCAAGGCCAGGCTGGATGAGGCTTGGAGCAACCTGGTCTAGTGGAAGGGGTCCCTGCCCATGGCAGGGGGGGTGGGAATAGATGGTCTTTTAAGGTCCCTTCCAACCCAAACCATTCTGTGATTCTATGATTTAGCTGAGCCTAGCTCATGGGTTAAGGGATGGAGGCGGTGATGGGAGATAAGTAGAGCCTGACAGTGATTGCAGAGCCAGGCAGTGGTTGCAGCAGCCCTATTTCCGCAGGAAACCCAGCTGAAAGTACAAAGACAGCTGCTGTAGAAAACACTGGGGCACTTAGGGCTGATCTCAGAGATGTATTGATGCTTTTAACGTGAGAAGAAATCTGTAAAGCGAGTCTGCCTCCCTCGAGGCTGCTCTCCTGGGACTGAGGCACAGTAACAGGGCTTGCCCAGTGTCTGGGTGGGTGGTATCACACTTCTCCAGAGCACGGGAAGAATTAAACAGCCACTTTTATTCTCCTGGAGTCGTGTCTGGCACCAGACAGGCAACCCGTAATGTCTGCCTCGGCAGGGAACACACACCTCACCCCTTTGGCCTCCAGTTGTCGCTCCCAACCCGCAAAGAAGGGGAAATTCTTTGTCCTCTGTGTAACAAACCCAAAGCACTCGTATATCGACAGAAGAATGATGCTTTGCCCCTGCTCCTCGTTTTTCCTGCGGTGCCACCTGCTCTTCTCTCGCATGGGCACAAACACTACGGAGCTTCCTAACGGGTTGGTGTGGGTTCAGATCAACCCAGCAACGAACCCCCGGCCTTGCACTGGCCGCATGGATGTTGCCAAGGTTTCCACCACCGAAGAGCAGATGCTGCAGAGCCGTGGTGGGGTGCCGAGCTGAGGCCCTTTGTTCTCACAGCGTTTTATGCAGCTTGATCCAGGGGAAGCACTACTGGCTTCCCGAACTGGACGGGCTGCCATAGCAAATGCAGTTTGTGGAGAAGGAAAATGGGACAAACCTGCTGTTCTAGTGCAATTTTTGCCTTCCAGACATCCTTTAGGATGTTCACCACATCCTTCTTAGTCAGCTTTTTGTTCTTGACCTCGCCTTCGTGCCGCAGGTACACAGGAACCACATCACCTTTGCCCTAAGTAATGGGAAAGGAACGCAGAGAGAGGTAAGGCATTCACCTTGCTGGCAGCAGTGCAGCACCACAGCCGTACTGCCAGCATCTAAAGCCTTTAAAGTGTGGGTCTCCCTCCCAGTGCTACAAACCACGTCTGTCAGCACCACTGCAGCGTGCCTCAGCTGCTCCAGGGTGGACCTGCTCAAGCCGGGGCCTGTGCCGGCCACACTGCCCATCGCCCCAGTTGCGCTACTTAAAACTTACTTCCTGGGTGATTTTGGTTGATGCCCTCCCTGTGGCGGCCAGGCAGCTGTGAGTAAACCCCATCACCGGTGTAAGACACTCGCAGTCAGTAAGTGGTTCGTTACAGCTGGGCGATGTGTTGGGCTGGAATCTGTGGTGGGCACGGGGCTTTGGGCTGGGACTGCGGCTGCAGAGGGGGCTGCGGGGCCGTCTCTCGGCAGCAGTGAGCTGACAGACCTTGTCCTCAGACAAAATGGGACTGTGTGAGAGGTTCTGCCCAGCAAGAATGGAAAAGGCAAGGTCTTCCTTGGAAATATCTTCCAGGAATGGCAGGGCAAACAGTTCAAGCTTCTGGAGAGGCTGAGGGAGAGATATTGAGTGGACCAAAGGAATGCTACTCTGTCCTTGAGAAAACCTTTGGATATGGTTATCCTCGGCATGATGTGAAGCATGCCGGTAACATTTCCTTGTCCCTGTCTCATTTCCTGATTCCCCCATCTGCTGGGGTGCAGCGCAGTGGGACGGTGTGAGTTAAGTTGGTTTCCTGCTGCCACAAAAAGGTGTCATTCCCTGCTGCATAATCTTGCTACTTAGTCATACTAGAGCTTGTCTGAGCCCATCTCATCAGCAGGGAACTAACCCGGGAGAAAGCAAATCCTGCCCTGCTGGATACTTCCCTGCCGCTGCAGCCAGTGCCACGGCGTAGGGGCCAGGGAGAAGGACGAGGCTTTTCAGCAGCAGGAAGCTGTTCGTTTGGCTCAGCCGTGTGGTGCAGCGTTAGTAAGGGGCTCCAGCCCTCTGTCATGCCTGCAAGTCTGAAGATTCACGCGGCATCACGGTGAAGTGTGGCTACTTCAGCTGTGTCTGCAGTATGCTCACTCAGTTTCGGCTTTTCACTGAACCTGCGTTTTCCCAGCTTTAAAGTTTTCGGTGGTTACACCGATGGGAAGGTGAATATGGAAGACACCAGCCGGGAAGGCAATTCTCCCACCTTCCTGATGGATATTTATCACCAGTTAATCTCAGTGGAAACAAGCGGAGAGGAAAACTTGCACATACCCACCCGGGGAAGGCACTGATCTCCCTTAGCACTCCCGTTCCTATTTCTTCCAGAAGCACATCCACTAGCTGGTCACTGGTCTTCCCCGCGGCCAGGCAGCCCCACCGGTCAGCCCCACCAGGAATCACCTCTGCAACGGCAAAAGGACACTAAGCTGCTAGAAGAGGGAATGTGCCCACGTACTGGTTTTGTGTGAATCCCACCGGGAGCCTCAGGATGGATACAGACCTCTAGATGGCTAGTTTGTCTGAGGCAAAATGGAATAACCTACAAGCTCCTCTCTCAGGCCACTCCTAAAAGCCTGGGAGCGCACGGGGCGTTGCGGGTAAGAAATGCCCCATAGTAGAGTGTTTCAAGACGAGCTGCCTTGAGCTGCTGAGTGTGTTTGGCACCTGAACACTTGGCCCAGTCGGGCCGGGGCGTGCAGTTGTGCTGAACTCGCTGGAGCTGAGTGCAGAAGCTGTCTCGCTCTGCTGCAGTCTCTCTGTGGATTTCCAGCAGCGTTTCGTATTCCTTATGGAGCTGATCAAAATCCTTCTGCAGAGTCTTCGTCTAAAGGATACAGAAGGGAGGATTGGAACAAGCTAACCAGAGTAACAGAACTCTGCTCAGATGAGCACTCGGTGCAGTCCATGGACTTGGGGAGAGCTGCCCCTGGCTAATTCCTTCTAGATGGGAAGAAAAATAGGTAATGTATTAAATTGTCAGAAGTTTTTATAAATGGTAACAATGCAAAACATGTCAGTGACCCCCTTTGATGGTTTTGTGTTTAAAACCAGGCCTTAATCCACTAGGAGAGAGCAGGAGAAACGTGCTTCTGGTCTAGACATCTTTACACACACACCCCTTGGAGCCACTGTAGTTTATTTAGACAGCCTTTCTTTTTTATGCAGTTTATCTTTGCTCTAGTGCAAAGCTGCGTCATGATTCAGAGGTAACCACAGCTCGTCTGGGCTTTGAGGGCTGTGTCTGTATTTACTACGCCCCAACGTAGGGCCACAACCCGTGGGTGAAGCTGTGCCGACGGTCAGGGCTGGAGCGGAGCTGCCGATGGCCCAAACGTATCTGGGATGGCCCAGTGCTGCTGTTCTTAAGCACGAAGACGGGTCGTGCTGTGCCCTCACGGAGGTTTTCATCCGTCCCTCCTGACTGCTGCGCACAGACTACGTGGTGGGCTCCAGGAGCCGTTTCATACTCCTGGGAAAGGCAAATCCCAGCGAGGCGGGTAAGTGCTGGTGGGCTGGCAGGGGTTTGTTAGCTGCGGTTTGGACAAAACTCTGCAAGCTGGTTGGTTTATTGATGTATGCGATGACCTCAGGGGTTCCCAAGCTGTAATCTGTGGGCTCTTGGTGCACTCTGGGCCATTATTGCTGCTATGGTGTTAAATCGGTTTACCCCGATGTTGGGGATCCGTGATGTGTGTTACATGTGAGTGCTCAGTCAGTCTGTGGTTCCAATAGATCGGGAGCTTTGGGGGTTAGGAGACAGCGGCTTTTCATGTATTTCCTGTGCAGAGAACGAAGAAACACCCTTAGGTGAGCTCTAGGTTTATGGAGTCCCCAGCCCAGCCTGAATACTGAAGCATGATGTCACGTTTGTATTTACGTGGTATAGCTTGAAAAGTAGGAGCTCACACTCACCTCCTGAAGTACCTCTGAGTATTTTTTCTCCAGTGATTCAAAATCTCTCCTGGGCACAACATCTCCATAGTCTGCTAGCATCGTGTTCAGCTTCAGCTGGGCTGTTGAGAGGTCCTGCCGAGCCATCTTTAATGCCAGAGTTAACTTCACCACATCTTCACCCTTGACGTCTATAAACAACAGCCACTGATGAAAGCCCACGACAGTAAAACTGCAGTCGTACTTTTCCAAGTCATCCGTTAAGCTTTTAGAGCACGTAACATAACAAAGTGTTGGCAAAAGCTAAGTTTTAGCTGTATTTAGGTAATACGTATTTAGCCGTAGACCCTATACGTATTTAGCCATATTTAGCTGTATTAGACCCTATACGTATTTAGCCGTATTTAGCTGTAATTAGCTAATACGGCTAGACTGTATTATTACTGAGGAGCTGCAAGTCCAGGAGTTTACCACAGTGCTCACATTCCCACTGTCCCGCCTCCTCTCCCACGCACTCATGCACATGCAAAGGCTCAGGCTCGGCGTTGGTTAACAGGAAGGATCACAGGGGGTGAGCCCTGACACGGATGCGATGGCTACAGCCAGCGAGTGAGGAGCAGAGGCACGCTGTGTGCCCGTAACCTGGCCGTGGATCAACAGGGACAATGTACCACAAGGGTCCCTACCGGCACGGTAACCTCTGTGCCAGGTACCAGTGACACCTGGATTGCGGGCAGGCACAGAGCTGCCGTCTGTGGCCAGGTAGGATGTGCTGAAGGTTGGCACCGGAGTCAAAAAACCCATAAGGAACTTTTGCATTGGGCAGCCTCTGCTTTCAGTTTACCCGTTGTGCTAAGCGAGAGCGTGTAAGGATACAAGCAGTGATGTGGTGAGTTCAGACTAGTAGGTATGTCCCTGCCTATTCCCTTTCCTACCCACTGGTGGACTTTTTGTCCATGAATTTGTCTTAACTTCCTCCCAGGATCAAAGCACATTGAAGATATTTCAGAGATACTCTGAATTTTTCCTGCGGTGCTGCGCCCGCGTGTGTGCACGTGGGTCTCTGCGGGACAGGTTCTTACAGAGACCTGCTCTCTCTACCTTGGACATGGCGATGCGCCGTTTCCAGCCGTTCGTTACGCATATCGTTCAGTTTGGCCAGGAGCAGTTTGCGGGCACCGTGCTCATCGAGGTAGCGAGCGTACTCCTCAGCTACGCTTGTCTGCAGATGCTCCACCTGCGGGAAACAGAGGCTTGAGCTGATCAGGAGCATAGCGTCCGTGGGAAATCTTGGGCTGGATGGGTGGGTCTAGAGCAGAAACCAAGGAGCAGAGCGTGGGATAAGGGAAGCAAAATGGGAAAAACTGGAGCAGGAGAGTGGGCAAGAGGCAACACTGTAGGAAAGGATGGTGTGGATGAAAATACAACCGAAGAGTTCAGACTCAGATGTAGGGTGCAGAAGTGTGGTCCCTCTGAGCGCTGGGCACTCTGGAGAGTGGGTTGTACGCGCTGCATCACCCGAGTTACTCCCCTCCTCTGTTAAAAGCCCAGAGCAAACCTTCCAGCAACTTATTCTGTCCCTGATGCTGGTCACACAGGAGGAAAAAAAGCTGCTATTCTTGCCAATTTACTCCACTGGTGACAGAAATGTATCTTGGATGGCACCATTTGTGCTGTATTTTTAACTTTTATTGTGATTTTTAATGTTAAGTGCCTTTCAAATTGGTGTCCCTACGCCATCATAGCCACAACCACACTGTCACCAGCAGAGTAGTCGGCAGCTCAGGTGGATCTTTCCAAAGAATTTTGTTAATATCTAACCGTGCCACAGTTGGAATAGTTGAATATTGACTCAAAAATGGAATTCTGCTTTTCGCAGAATTATTTTTCCCAACCTCCTTCACCCAAGTTGCCACACTTAAATAGCCCAAACTAGAGTTTGGATTCTGGGCTCTATTCTTAGGTAACTTCTCGTAATTTCTCAGTTGCTCCTTTCAGAGAAGTTCTCTATGGCTCTGCGAAGCCCTGAGGCCTGCGAGGACCAGCAAGTGGAACTGGCTACCTCTAGGACTACGCATGGAGCGAGATTCACGAGCATTTTGATCTGGCTGGTGAAACCAAAGCCTCTGGGGTTGACCAAGTGCTGAATAAGGAGCCTACGTAGTCTGTCCTGAAGCTTTTTTTCTTCACCTTTACCACTTAAACTAGTGGATGAAAGCAAGTTATGGCAGAGTTCCTCATGCTGTTATCACACCTCTGACCACAGCAGAATTCCTGCGTGACAAGGACAATTTGTTCCTTCCTCCTGCAGATTTTTCACCAGGAGGATGGTACAACGGGGTGCCCAGGCAGGCAGGGGATCTCCATCCTTCAGATACGACGCTGGAAGAGCCAGATGGGATGAGATATCAGTGAAGACTTCTGACAGCGCAGCCTGTCCCAAGAGAACAGGGTATTCTCTGGAGTTGCCCAAGACCCAGCATCACGACCACCCCTGAGGTTCAGTGCCTGCTCCAGAACTTCTGCTGGCACCAAAGGATGAGAGGCTGGGAGGTAAGGGGTCAGATGTATTAAATGCATCTAACTGCAGTTAGGAAATGTTGGACTCATCATTGTCTACTTTACCTGAGTCTGGAGAGAAATCTTTTCTTCCTTCATATTGTCAATGAACTTTAACAATTGTTGTTTCTCCTGCTTTAACATATTTATTTCATGGTTCTCCTTTTCCTGCAGTGCAAGCATCTGCCGGGTGTGCTCCTCGGACGCAGTTGTGACCATAGCCTTCAGGGGCTCTAGGGCACAGATTGTCTTCTTCTGATGAGCTAAAGAAAGCAGAGGTGGGGTCTCACAACGAGCCACAAAGCATGAGCTTCACTTGGCTGGGTTCTCGACCCCAAAACAGGGCTGGTTGGAAGTGGGACTGAACGTGGAGCTTTCCCTGCTTGGCCTGGTGAGTGCCTAACGACTGGGAATGTATCTTTTGGGATTATATCCCACTGTTTATCTAGCTGTGCATGTACACTACATAAGGAGTTCTGATTCCAAGCACATGCCATTTATTCTGGCTTAGAAAACAAAGGATGAACAGTATTCTGTTTTCTTGAGTATTTAAGGTTTTGATAAGGTATAATGAGCCCCAATGGCTTCATTGTGTTTCATTAGGTGGGAAGGCGTCACCACCTGAGCACAGGCAGCATGTGGGGCTGAAGACAACGGCTAATTAGCAATATTCCCTCTTCGGTCAAGGTACACTCTTCATCTTCAATCAGCTTTCTGCTCTCCAAATGCCCAGTCTCATGCAACCTTCTGTGCACAAATTTGTTCCCTACCCACTCGCCCCTCTCTCAGGCATGCCTTGACCTCTCTTCTGCCTTTCTCTCAGTACATCTAGTAAAGAGCTCGTGCTCTTCCTGGATTTCTCTGCTGTCCTGTGCTTTTCGCTCTCAGCTGTCTCCCCTCTGACTTGAAAATTCCCCTTACAGCTACTTCCCTGAGGAGCCAGTGACAGTCCTTGACTCAGGTCCCACATCCCACTTACAGTTACACGGTAGAATTTGGTCTGATGCCACCTCCATGGTGCAGAGCCTTGCTTTTATGACTAGTTGGAATTCTACCAGGTGAAAAAAATGATCAAAGACAGGATGTGGAGTGATTCAAACGAGGCTGCGAGCAAGCTTTGTTTTGTTTGTGAATAACTGCATTATTCAGCAATCAAAACTGTTCACTCCCTCTCGTGAAAAGGATAAAAACGCTGGTGGATGCTGAACAATATGACTTGGAGGTTTTTTCCTCCTCGGTAAAACCTGGTATTAGTATTTATGTACAAATGCTACGCAACAGATTTTGTGTTTTAAAAGTTAAAACGCATACATACCTCGAAGAACAAGAACTACTTTTCTTATTGCACTTGGGTGTGAGTTTCCTTCCCTCCCTCTAACAGTACCAAAGGTTTTGCAAAACTCAAACTCTTTCACTGCGGTGCTTGTCACAGGACACGGGGTGGCCAAAACCAGAACGTGGGCACCGGGATTCTGCCACTGTGCTCTTTGGTTGCTCCGTGCGTCAACACTCCAGCAAACTTCTTTTGGGGCGTAGTTGAAGTGTTTCACAACTGACTCCTGACCACAAGCAAACCCCTGTAAATGAAGCGTGGTGCTATTTTGAATTGCCGTTGCCTAGTGTGTCAGAAGTTAGAGCGCAACTAGTTGGCTGCCAAAGAGATTATTCTGTAGTGTGGACTTGGGCCAGTGCCATTTGAGAACATTAGCTCTCTGATGACCTCTTGTAGCTCTCCCCATGCCAAGAAAGGAGAGACATTCTCCCACTTGGAAAGCGCTCAGGCCAGGGTGCGGCTCCCTGCACACACAGAATTGCTGGAAGGACCCAGAAACCTTAGCACCACAAAGGAGTGAACATGAAGGCCCTGTGGACGTAGCAACCTGGGTGTTATTTTAACTGAGAAATGGATTAAGCTGTGGTAGCATCGCCATGGAGACCTACCCTGTCACTCAGCTTTGCCTTAGAGGAGCTCCCAGACACGTCACCCTTATCTCGGATCAAGCTAACAGCCGTAGGGATTTGATGGCTCTTTCCTCCACGGTGTGTTTTCCTAACTCTGCTTTGTACCCTCACATTGTTACTCCAGGAACAATGCCCTAACGCCTCAGCGCTGGCTCAGCACAGCCTTAACTCCCAGAGGAGCTACAGCGGCACGTCCAGTTCTGGCAGAAGGCAAGTTGCAAGCATCCAGTACCGGCTGCACATCCCTGTCCCCAGCAGAGGCTGCTGCCTTCTCTGGTCGGCGCTCAGCCGTGCGTGTGCTACCTGCTTCAGACGTCGTGCTGCCAAAATGATGCGGCTAAATAGGCAGTGGAAGCAGCACAGTTTTAGGCTAACATTTAATAACACTTTTTTTGAAAAACCAGATTATTCTGACTGAAGTGGGAATATGTTGCAGTGCCAGCAGATTTAAGGGGAGAACCCATCCCGGCAGTGGGGGCAGTGAGCAGCTTAAACGTCATCTAGGCCAAGCTCGCACAGGATATATGACTAGGGCAGAAAAAAACAGTGAGACAAAGGTGCTAAATGAGGCCAGGCAGATAATAGCCAGCTGGCTGAGAAAGAGAGTGCTGTGGTGAAAATGGGGTTTGGTTACCATTTCAACGGGAGCTGAGATGCCCCAGAAAGGGTCTGCGTGTTAGGTGGAGTGATGAGACATCTCCCTAAGCAAGCTGTTCCATTTATCAGCTCCAAAGCTGCACCTCAAAGCTGCAAAGCACTGTAGGAAGGGACTATAAACAGAATATAAAATTCTGACATTTGGAGCCCTCAGAATGGCCACCTCTCATAGATCTTAAAGATGTTAAACACAGTCAGACATAATTTAAAGAGAAATGCATGGGAGTGCAGTTCTACGGATCAGTAGGTTTCTGCTCTCAGGCACTTGCGTTTGTCTCCTCCCAAGCTCAGATGCTTTCTTGGGCAATTCAACTCACTAAACCAACAGGAAACTTTGCAGCTCTTGGTCTTTGTTTTTCCTGCTGGGTGAGCTGACTCAGCTCATGGAGGTGTCCAGCGAGCGGCAGAGCAGTGGGAGTGCACGCTCAGGGGTGGGGATGGGGGACCTTCTTGTTGCTGTGGCCAGGAGTGGTTGGACCAGATCACTGCCTCCCTGGCCAGGCAGGTAAGCTGCCGTCTGTGCTCCACAGGGAGGAAGAGGCCTGGACATTACTGATAACCCTATCCAATACCCTTGGCTAAAAGGGGATAGATGTCATGCAGGCAATTACAGTAAAATTACAAAAAAAATTGCAGTGAAATTTGTAATTAGGAAAATGAGTCCTCAATATGGAGAAAGGGGTGAGGATCCCAATCCCAATTAAAAAAAAATCCATTTATTTTATTATCAGAGCTTCAAGTACATTTGCTACCATGACGTACGGGTTCACTGTGATTTCCAAAAATAAAGCTATCATAGAAGGTACGTTTTGCTGGGTCCCCAGGGTCTTCAAAGAAAAAAAAGGGAACTATCACATCCAAGCGATATGGAGGAGTCAGTAAATAA